CCCCCCCCCCCCGAAAAAAAACAAGCACGCAGCTGAATGGACCAGAACTTTCCCAAGAGGGTCCACCCTCTTCTGGAAATGATATCCCACCTCTTATTCAAAAAGACAATTACAGGAGACGGGATAACCTGGCATTTCGGAAGACGTGTAATCGCTGCATATAAGATGTCCGCCAACGGAACATACGGAAAAACATCACGGTACTAGGCCTCACCCGTAATCAACCAGCTATAAACTATGTACCGTAGGCACATTGGTTCTAGTTGCTACAGTTCCGAACACCGGAAAGTGGGAGAGTGAAGGACAGCCAAACCCTGGAGGCGATGGCATATTTAGTTACAGACCTCCGAGGCCGTGCGTTGTTCCAGATTCACCCTCCACAGTTCTACCGCGGCTTCGGGATCCAGCAATGATCACGGGATTGTTGTTAAAAGTGGTCGGCCCGTCAAGGTGTCTGTCTTCATTGAAGACTGTCGTGTCACTTTGACCCTTGAGGATTTCCCTCACAGGCGGTTTACGGGGACCCTTCTTACGGGTCAACTATAAAAGCTTTCGGACATTCCAACTTTCATGGACCTTTTCCATTTCCCTAGCCTTCAGGGTTGCTGCGCACATCAAGTTTGACTTGGCGTGTTCCTGTTACACTGGACAGGCAGCTGCGTTTGTCATCATTGCCCAGATAAGGCCATCACCTCCAATAAGTTGCTCTCATTCCGTTGTTCTCTGTAGCTTTGTTGAACAGTGCCGTGGCAGCTGGAACCACTGCACTTCCATTCACAATTTGTGAGCTCAATATAATGAACTGAATGAGCTGAACTGAAATTCTCCTCATCTGTTTAGGGAAGAGTTTACACTAGGCGTGCGATCCATATTGCTCTATGGATCAGAGACGTGGTCCCTACGTGCAGAAGACATACGGAAGATGTCAGTGTTGGATCATCGTTATGTCGGAAGCATTGTGTTATATTCTCTTTGCTAATATGTCAGTCAGAGTCGTCAGTTCACCGGAATGGAGAAAGCTATAGTGCAAACAAGTGGATCGTTCCGCGATATGGAATTCAACTAAACCAGAATATAAAAAGTGCTAACAGTCTAACGGGATGTCAGTGAGAGGCTGAAATGTTAAAACAAGGTTTCATTATACAAGAAAAATCGTTAGCAAAGTGGATTTGTTCGTTTGGAGTAGTCCTAACAAATTCGTCAGGTCTGGTCGTAACATCCGATAATACTTGGATACGCCAGATGATCTTAGGAAGAAGGAACTCTCCCACAATTGATGAATTACTCACGCTTCATTGGCTGCGCTGGTTGGGCCATGTACTACACATGCCGGAAGACCGTCTGCCCCATAGAGCTTTGAAATCGTGCATCAGAAGGTACTGCGATGGTAGCAGTGGATGGAACCTCAGATGAGAACTAGTCTGGATATCGGCGACACTTCGAAGTGAACCTAAGAGCACGGTAAACAGCATGTGCTAACCACAGAGATAGCAAGCTTAGCCAATCAGAAAGATGTACCATGAAGTCATGATTGTGTCGTGTACAAAAGCGTCCTAATACGTTTGTAAGCCACTGGTTTTCAACACTTGGCGTTGATTTTGATACGTGTACGAATTTAGATACCACCTCCCTTTGTCTTGAATCTCATGGTTTCATTCCAGGAGCGGTGCGATTTGTCTAACGGAGAAATATCTCGTTATAGTCGACAGCTTATTCTCCCGCAGTTTGGTGTCACAGGTATGCAGTTTTTTCCACATACATCTGTGTATATTAGGAGTTATGGTGTTTGTCTTACAAAAACTCACAATTGTCAGGATCACCCATGTCAACACAAATGTATATTAGTTAGATGGCCTTGTTCGGCTGAATTCAAGAAACTGTATGGCAGAAGTATGCAGGAATAGAAAAAGCCACCCCAGCTCAGCTTTGCCTACCTGATTTGCTTATCAGCACTGCATGAAAGCAATCCTTTTCTTAACAAAGGCACTATACCTAGATTTGTTCTATTCCATCATATTCAAACGCGTGTTAAATAAACGGGTTATTTTGTCGTTGGCAACAGGGTCCTGTGGTATAGGTTCTTCTGCAAATACCTCTTCGAATGATCAAGCAACATTCGTGTTGAAAATAGGAAAACAAGTTCCTGGGCCCACCAGTCTTCCAGGGTTCGCTCAATGGGTCGCCGAGGTACACAAACCGCCACACCACGATAAGGTCCAGTCTCTTCGTGTCGGGGTGGAACAAATCATGCAGCCCTGTTTCTCTCAAAGAAGTTTCAACGTATTCCATGGAAGATTGCGGTGCTGTTACAATCGGAACGCGTGGGCTGCTTCATTATACGGCCTACAAGATGGACCAATGCCTTGGCCAACGTGAAGTTAGGTAAACCTAGCTAGTGGTGTGAGGAAAACCGCAGACAGCAGATAAGGTACTATCACCTTTCAGAGTAGGTTACTTGTGGGTACCGTGTCGGTGGCTGGTACACTGAGGCTCGGGAGTATGGTTGTTGGTCAGGTGGTTGCTAATCAGTTGCTGATCAACCACCTGAGTATGGTTGGAGTCGACAAGGAGGAGATCCAAGATAATACATCTACGACCGCGTTATCTGAGCCGAAGGAGTACCTGATGCCATTTGTGGAACGCGAAATAAAATCCAGGTATCAGATCTTGCAGTTTGATCATGCATCACTCGGCGAAGTGATGGAGAAAGTCGGAGGCCTGTGATAGGTAGTAAAATACTTGTCCTCAATATGACGACCAGATGTTCGCGAATGGTCGAGCGGTAGCTCCGTTAGTTGTCTGAAAAACGATAAATTCATGTTGATAATGGGTTCCAGGCCAAGGAAGAATTGGTGAGCGTATGAAACTCGGGAATGGAAGTGACCTCGTCTCCCAGGATAATGATGTCACTTGAGTTAATCACATGGTCAAGCAATGTAATCGCCCACATTCGCTTCTGGTGGAGTTCGTGTTGCTGCGAACGTCCAAGAATTTACGGGTATCCACAGCATGTTGCGCACGGTCGAACCTGATGGCCTAGGTGTCGTCTCAGTTAGGACAAGCGAATTCGAATCCCCAAACGGCTGGGTGAATTGTTGAAACGTGTAGGAGGTGTGATGCCGGCCAGCGAACATTCTAAGAAACCCTAGAAGACCGGATCTTTTGGTGACATCAGTTCTCTGGACATCTGTACTCCGAATCACATACAATGTCCGTCTCACTGAAATTTATCAATGCCCCAGTCGGGTCATAGATATATGGAATCCGAGTGTCGACTTTTAAAATGATGTTATATTGGTCTCCAGCAGTTGATGAAATTCTGTCGAATTCTGGGCAAAACGTACTCACCGCACATACACGGACTGATTAATTATTACTATTACTACTACTATTATTATTCGGTAGTTTCGATCGATCATTGGGATCGGCTAGTCACACCAAAGTCCACTTTTCCAGAAGTAGCGTTTAAACTGCTTGCGATCGCCATCAAAATGTCCTCAATATCGAGCTTAAACTGATAAGTCGAAGTTCTGGAAGAACAACGTACCAAGGGTACGTTGTTTTCTGCTGCTACAGTTTCGTTCATCTGAAAATGGAGGAGCAAAGGAGATATAGCCAAGCGCGAGAGGCGACGACATGATAAGTTAGTTCGGAAAACGGGATAGCTACGCACTGAAAGGTGACAACTTTAGTGCACGAATGCCACCGCCTGCTTGACTAAACCACGTCTTTTATCGTTATTAACCACAGGTGGTTTGATTCCCGGAATCTCTATCCAGGGAGGCGGTATTTGTCGACCCGATTGAGTTTATTGATTAGTGCTTTAGTACCTGGTTGCCAGCTTATAGACTGTACGAGTCTGAAGCTGTCACCTTGTCGTGGTATTAGGGCTTCAGTAATGTACTGGTCCTGTAGACTATGTTGGCTGGAACTCAGTTCTTCGAGTTTCAACCGTGCCAGCCTTGTTAACGTGAACATATATATATGAACATATCAGCTTCTCTTGTCTAGGCTTAGGCAACCTGGCAGTATTCCAGTCCTCGTGATTCCTTCGGGTGGCATGGCAGTTAGGCACCGAAGGGGTGTTACAGCTGAACGATCATCTTATCTTGCCACCTCACCCGAAGTTTCGAAACAACTGTGGAGGCCGTGTATGGCTATGACAACTACAGTATCCGATAATTCAGCCTAGCTCTTAACCATGATTCCATAACACGGGAGTCGAAAACCAGGACCTGAGTGAATGGGGTCTGGACGACCGAGACATTCCTAGTTGTGGCGAAACCACGAATGAATGTAGACAACGTAGAACAAAAACGTATTAAAACGGTATCTGCTGCAGGCTCATAAAAGCAGGCACGTAAAAGTAGGAGCCCGCACAATCGAAACAGCACTTCCAAAGGTGTGGCCAATGTATCCGACTTCAGCTTCGCGATTGTGAATTGGTTAAGGATATCTGTAGGCTTCGTGGGGAATTTCAAACGTCAACGTAGTGGACAATACAAACCGGAAGGAGGCAGTTGGTTACAAGATACTGAAAAATATTGAAGACGCTGATAAGAGGATGAAAAGATGCTTGTGACGGTAGATTGTCTTTGCAACACCCAGTGCCCGTTGCATAAACCTACCTAGCACAAAGTTGGCCAGTGACTAAATGATAAACCCCGTGTTGAATACCTGGATCCTCAGGTTTTTATGGTTCACCCCACTAGGAACTCAACTGGATCGATACCCCCAGAAAGCTTGCCACTGATCACTGCGCTCCAGCAGCCAAGATCCTCATCCGTTTTTCCGTCGAAGTGTAAAGTCCTACGAGCTGCTCGACTGTATTCATGAGTTTGGTTTGGTTGTCATTTCGAAGATGTTGTTAACGGCACGTAGGCGGTCTCAGTTACGGGTTTCCACCGGTCATTTTCGAGCTATTGTGGCTTGCAGTTTTGACTCCACTGGTCGCGAATAGCAGATATACTAGTGAGGGGTGAGACTTCGTGACTTACTTCGTTGACTTCCATGAGTTCTTCTATAACCGTCGTGTGCTTCACGACGGAACTATGGAAGTGGGTAGTCACGTGGCGGAGGGCCTGAAAGACTCACCGAACCAATTCAGAGTGTAGCTGTCCTGGTAGACTAGGGAAGTTCTTTGTTTGCTAATCTGGCAATTCCACCAGACAGTACGACGGTTGTAGGTTCCAGGGAGGCGGTGAAACACGAAACACCCTATGCACAAAGTATTACATTTAACTTTCTCTCATGCGCCTGACAAACAACGAAATTCGTACAATAAGGAAGCGGGCTATTTGGAGGAGAGGAATATTTGTACTCTCAATTTGGTGGTACTTGAAGCTACTGTCACTAACTATCCTCACTCCCGTCATCCTTGCACTATTTCAATATATTTCACACAAACGGCTTTCTAAGAAGCCGTTAAAACACTAGTCACTCGTAGATGCAGTCGAACAGACAAACCGTAAGGGGCATAATCCACATCTTCATAGGATTTTCAACTCGACTGATGTAGGACAGTGACTCACGACTTAATCTACCCAATTGACCTTCAGTCGCTCGCTGCATCGAAACTTTAGTACGTATCTCGCTCGGTGATAATTTGTGCAAGACTAGTTTTGTTGGTCGACCATTTTGTCAGCTATCCAGGATGACCACCCGGGGTTTATTTTTAATGGCCATAAGATGCTCTAGGAATACGAAACTAAACAGTCAGAGATCCATACAGGATTTTAGTAGGCCTGGTTCAATCGGTTTGTTAGTGGCTGAATTAGATTCTGACATAGGTAAATGATAGGTTGGCTTGTGCAACTTGTAATCGTGTTAACTAATCCTCACCGCCTGTTGAACTGCACTGTTTTTCAGACGCATCTAAAAAGCTTGCAGTGTGTCCTCTTACCTTCAGATGCTCAGTAAGAAGCCCTAATGTTAGGTTATTTTATATGATGCATGTCTCGTGTTCCCGTATCAAATACATTACGCCTCCCCCTAACCTACATCCTTCGTACTGTCTGGTGGAATTGCCAGAATAACAAACAAAGGACATCCCTAATCTATCAAGATAGCCACGTTCTGAGTTGATCCGATTAGTCTTTCAGACCCCATCCACTTCCAGAGTTCTGTCTTGGATCACAAGACGGCCACAGGAAAACTCATGGAAGTAAGGCAGTGAAGACGAGTTGCTAGCGACAACAACTCACGAGGTCTCACTCCTTAAAATCTGGGGAGAACTTCATTAATACGATATTTGCCTTGCTTTTGGGATTGAGATTATTCATGGCTGATTGTACAGAGTTCATAACTCACTCTTTCTTCCGAAACGGTACAAAAACAGATCTACGGCCGACTGGATTGGATGCGGATTGCTGATTAGATTACCCTATTTTGTTGTTCAGCTGCCATCCAGCCCTTCAAGCCTGCGTGGTTATTGAATCTTTCTTGAGCCTGAAACTGTTTCGTGTTCCTGATTTATGACCATCATGTATACATGTGTGAAACAATTACCAGTTTATATTGAAGTTATTACGAAATCAAAATAACGTTTTTGTTTCGATTTGTGTGTCCTTGTTATAGGAATGTTTGTAGTTGAATGCTTCATTTCAACGGGGTAAAGATTCCCGTGAGCTGACTAGCTGGAATCATCACAGCTCATGAAAATACCACGTGTTCTCCCATGTGCAACCTAGCACAACGTCATGAATAACATATGTTCAACGTTTTCAGGTCATACTTAGCATTTCGTCAGTTCTGACAAACGTATGTTTGGGGACCGACATCGTATTTAGACTGAAGTGATCCAAACCAAGGGTTTAGAGCTTTTCAACCGTTGTTCGAGGATACAAATGTACTCAACATACCAATTAATCGTACTGAAGTAATCGAGCTACTCAACCGTTCTGTAAGTTTCGCTTTGCCTTGTTCTTTATGCTACCTTGATCGATCATCGTTGATATCAGCACTTGAGAATTCTGCTGCGCCCCGTCTTTCATCGGATCCTTTTGTTAAGAAATGTAGTCAGCCTAGCTTACTTAATTTCCGAATTCTGAGTGTGTGAACCAGGCGAGGCTAGTACGGATTATACGTTACATGTAATCTCAGACCCCGGCTTTTACTAATGTTACATTGTGTGCTGATTAATAGGACACTTAAATCTGCTCTTTGGGTTGCTTTTCCTCTCATATTTCGACCCCTTATCGATTGCCGTTCACAGGTCAATTGAAATTGCGCTCGAGCCGCGTACTTATTGTTGGCTGTGGTGGACTTGGATGCCCGGCTGCGGTCTACTTGGCGGCCGCTGGAGTGGGTAAGTGACTAGTGTCTATTTCGTCGAATAGCATTCAATCTTTCCAGCTGAAAAGTTGGTCGGTTGGTTTTTGCTGGTTCATTTTTCCATATATTTGGCTACTGGGCTTCAGGTTTCCCGAGTGTATCGGTAGGCTTCGATCCATTCAGCAAATGTAGCACCTGAGAAGACGTACGTATTGCGGAAAGATTTGGAAAGATTTTCGTTTGGTTACATTCATAGCCTGTTCTACCTGAAACGTACTCATTGCAGTGTGCGCCTCACGTCTGTGGTTTTGCTCCTCATCTAATCGGTCACGATTCGAAATAACTTCTTGCATTTGGAATCCGATTTCGGAATTGAGGAGGGTGGCATACAGTCCTAGCTGTTGCTCGCTCATATTTCTGTGAAACCCTTGATTCGGATTCCGTCACGAACACTGTCCGATATGCTGCGCCATATTGTGGCTCACTCTTGTTAAAAGATGAGTTTGTTTCACGTGGCCGGAGAACTGGGCATTTTTGTTAACCACCACAGGATCTCACTATGCGCATGGGATTCCAGAACCATTCGGCGTTTGTTCTAGGCCCGTGGCCTTTGGAGGATGGAATATCCAGTTCACAATTCATTGGGAACTGTGGTAACTCAAGCCAAAACACCCTTGCACACGCCTCTTGATGAAGTTAAACCAGTTTATCCTTCCTTTCTGTCTATTTAGCTTCCATCATGCCTATCCATTTGTTGTCTGTTGGTGTCACTGACGGACTGTCTGATCCGTTTGCTCTTCATGTAGGATCATCCATCCAGAATTCCGAATGTAACCTTTGTCAACACATCTGCTTATGTTTAGCAAATAATCAAACCAGTTGTCATTAGTGCCGCGACCTGCGCTTTTTGCTGGACGCCGAGTACTCCAACTAGTGAGCAAGGGCATACCATATGTCGGTTTGACGGTCTTCACAGTTAGCTTGAATACTTTGAACCTACTCATTGAGTTTCTTCTCTATCAGCTATCATTTTATCATCATCATCATTGTCAGCTGTATCAACCGCGTACTCGTCGTACAGTGGTTGTAGCTGCCGCAGTTTCGTTCACCGATGATTTGGGAAGGAGGGGTAGGTAGCTGCGCATCGCAGGCGGGAGTGATAAATTGGTGCATAAATCCAGCATTGTCAGTGGTCTCTCAAGTGGAGGGGGGTGGAAAAGGAGCTATGCATTGAAGGCAATAGCTTGGATGCACGAGCGCCATTGAGGGCGCAACTGGGCCATATCTGACGATGTCTCTAGCCATTGATGTGGCCCGTCTCGGAGTCCCCATCCAGGAAGCCGGCAGTGACCAGCGCAGCTGAGTTTGCTGGTAATGGTCTTCATTTTATGACACCTTATGATGTTGTGATAACATGAAATGTTCATAACATCGGGCATCTACCTGGTTAACCACGGAATTCAACAAGAGGGTAATGCATTTATAATTAAACAGTGGTCTCCTGACAGGATCTCTATAATCAAAAGTTTAACGTTCTGTAACTCCCTCCCCCCGTGCAACGCTTGCATGATGATTTTAACTCAGCGTTCCGGGCCACGATTGAGACCAGCATTGTTGTTTAATCCATACATTGGTTATGCAACTTTACAAATTGGTTTATCGGTTCGAACCGGACACATTTCTTACGGAACAAGCTACTTGCATAGTAGAAGCGATAATAATACAGCTCCATAGCTAATTCATATGCGTCTGTTGCAGGCGTGCAACATGGTGAGTATATCATCACCTCAGTCATTCATTGTAGACCATCTTATTCCGGCCAAGTTTGGTACACAACTCCGTTCGGTTCACAACGATTTGTGCTCTTAAATAGGGCCTTGGAAATTTCATTTGAGTTAGATAAGTGCATTTTTAATCGTGCAAGTATGCCTCAAAAATGCACTTCACTACGACAGTGAGGACATTGCAACGGATTTCGTGACCAGTTAATTACAACCTTAGTAGTTGAGTGCGGTCAGCGGATAAGATAATAAAGGTCAGTTAGATTGTAGCATCCTCACAGCGGAAGACAGTATGGTAGTATCCACTAAACAGTGTTTATTGACAGAAATTGGCCCGTAGTATAATTACGGCTTTTCCGATTATAAAAATGGTCACTCATTCGTTTTTCCGTCGGGCGGATTCTTTTCCTACGTTCATACAAGTCTCTATTTCTGGTTCTATTTCAGGCACAATTGGTCTGCTTGATGACGATGTTGTCGAACTGAACAATTTACACCGACAAGTGGGTCACTCAGAAGCCACTGTAGGTCAGCCAAAAGTGTCCTCCCTTTCTAAACGTTGTCGCGAGTAAGTAGTCGTGATTCGATCTGAAACTTGCCATTCACGTACAGAGTGAATTCGGGCACCAATATTGAAGAGTGTTTCGCACATCTGACAAGCTCAAATGCGCTGGACATAGTCAGCAAGTGAGTACTCGAATTTATGGCTTCATCCGTACACTTTACCGTATACTCCTTTGGATTGTAAGGAAATTACCGTTATCTTCTCTGAGAGCTTTAACCATCAGTCACCACGCAAAATCTACCCATATACTTACCTAGATTCTTTCTTTTCACCCCGTTCCCTCTTGAAGAGATGCTAATCAGTCATCTGGGAAAATGCTAAGAGATGAGTGTACGTACCTGTTCGTTTACAAGTTTCCTGTATCACCGTCATCTTAAACAGCAAAGTCAGTACAACCACACTATGTTTACTCATCTTCAAAGTTTTAAAGCGAAAAAGACGGAAGGTAGCTGGTGCTGGCAAACCGCAAGCACTCTGGATTACCCATACCTTCAAACTTTCAATGAGACAATCCGGACGGAAATTGGCAGCTTGAATGCCACGGACACAGGGAACATGTTCAGAGACTGCTTATTCTAAAGTTGCCTGTGCACTTTGTGAGTGCAGGATACGCGCCGAATTATTTCATGATGGTGGTTAGATTTGTTTTTGGTTCATCTTCATACATGAGGGCAATGTCATGTGTATACTGCAGCCCAACAGGGTGCTCACCAGCGACGATTTGAACACTAATTTTAAGGCCTTCCAGCGCTTTCTTCGATGACTCAGTTGATATAAGGACCACTTCCTGTTCACATCATTATCCCCTGTTGAGCAGGCGTGGTTAGAAGCACTAAATCATCGACAGAATCGAGCGCGCCCTTGGAGCCAGCAGCAAGTTTGTGGGTAACTTGTGCATATGGAACTGATATAGCATCTGGTGGAGTATGGAATTGCGATCGAGGCAGCTTCTACGTGGTGGAGCTATTGCTTACTGCTCACTAATATGGATCTTGTGCGCCTTTCCAAGAAGGCTGAGAATCGGGACGCCACTAGTTGGAATCAAACACACCTCTGTGGTTACTACGTACATTGTTTTTTGAAGGTATCCATCATCATCGACCCCCTCCCAGATGCAACGAAAAAGGGTGAATACTGGTACCGCGAGAAGTTGTATTATGAGGCATTCTGAAGGTAGATGTGCACTGTTGACGGCGATAGGAACTTGAGAACCGTCAGATGTCTCCCTCTGGTCGTCAGCATTTCCGTATTTTCAGTGGAGATTTCATCCTGTCAATGAAGCGAACTTATCCTGAAAAGCCGAAAACCACAGTGTACGTGCTTAATCCTTGTCGAAAACCATCTGCAGTGCGTATCTGACGTAACTAAGATAGCTTCGAACCCACGACCTTCCGGACAGTGTTTGAGCACTTGACCATTTGACCACGAGTGACTGATCGGCATCTTGATTAGCTATCACTAAGACAGGAAATAGCTCCATTCATTCTTTAGTAACGGAAACCACATCACGTGATTATTTATTGACTGGTTCCTCGAGTGATAACTTCCTAGAAGGAAGTTTCACACATCCAGTGAACTTGCCCTTCCTCTGAGCTGCTTATTGCTTCATTGTTTCCATTACCTGGATTCTGCGTGGAGTATACGTACTATAAATGAAAAGCCTAATAGAGACCTTGTCAGTTGACCAGTTTAACGGCATGTCACCGATGCGTCACAGGTACACGTTACTCACACTAACCTTCATAGAGTACAGACTGTCTACTAATCTTCAATTACCTGGAGATCACGGACGTCTCCCACTTTAGTACTGCCTCGTATGAGTGTGAATGGGAGCCTGAATGCAATACTCTGTCTCGTCTTCATCCACTCTAACGTTTCTTATTAAAAGTTACTTATAGATTAATATAGCTTTGCGAACGATGTTGGCCTTTTATCCAACAATTTTTTCCAAGAAATTGAGGCTGTCGAGGAGTTTTCTTCAGCTGTGTAAAAAAACTGAGGCCATTTCGGTAGTACTTCTAGCCAGGCAGCCAGCTGTGTAAAAAAACTGAGGCCATTTCGGTAGTACTTCTAGCCTCAAAAGGCAGCAAGGTTCAAGTGATAGTACTGTTGAGTTTTTGTTCCTTCTTCGTTTGGTAATATTTAAAGGTCGGTGACAAATACGAATTCCCTGAAATACTGGTTATACTGGATCTGTGCGTCACTCCCCTCCTAATCGGGGTGTAGCTGCATGTATTGGTGTTGATGGTAGTAGCCTATCGATTGTTGAGCTCATCATGAATGGCGCTGACCATCAACTAATTGTTTTAGGTACGACGTCGTCCTGGACTGCACTGACAACCTGGCCACACGCTATCTGATCAACGACGCATGTGCGGTTTGTGGTCCCAAACCGCTAATAAGCGGGAGTGCATTGCGCCTGGAGGGACAAATGACCGTGTACTTGGCGAACCGAATGAGGACAAAGGAAGAGGTTGAGTCTAACCGCCCACTACCAAGAGAAAATCGTGCGCCGTGCTTTCGCTGTCTGTTTCCTGTCCCACCTCCAGCCACAACGGTCCAAGGCTGTTCTGAAGCTGGGGTTTTTGGTGTCGGTAAGTCACACTGGGAGCAGTCTATATTCCAGCTTGGCTTTCTGTGTTGCTTTATGATGTTTCGCACTTTTGATGCTTTGAATTGCCCAGTAAATCAAGCACTTTTAAGAAGCGTGTTCAAGGCCAATCGAAGCGGTTAATTTGATCCACCGCCAACACCACGCTTGCAATTTGTTTTGAGCTTCTATGTGTCCTACATTTTGACCTTTTCCTGAAATGAATAGGTCTAGCGTTTCCAAAAAAAAGTGTGATCGGACCCCTAGAAACTGTTACCTGGCCTTTTGGTTGGTTTTCTCAGGTTACTTGCAGTAGAGTGTTTACCCAGCGGTTTTTGTTAGACATTCGGTACAGTTGTGTGAACGTTTGATTCTCGGTTTCAACGGTCAGAACAACCCTGCTGCTGGCAAATACTCATACTGTTTCCATAACAAATCATCGATCCTCACCTACAATTGGCTAATTGTCAAAATCATGGGCTCGTTATCTTAACTAGCATATGGGCATATCCTAAAAAGCTCAGCTGCTCGCGGCTCTTCCCCATTTTGAGGATTCATCGGGTTAGTGCAGATTTTTTACCGGTGAGTTCGAACCGTTTTCTTAACAAATCCATCCTGAAAGAACGTGCAGTCGTGTATTTGATGGTCCGTACACTCCCTAATCAGCTGTGACAACTCTGGGTCGTGAGAAGTATGTGATGCGGATCACCGTTGATATTGGCGCCGAAAAGGTACAGGTTACCTAGGGAAACGGATTAGGAAGAATAGTATGCAAAGGATAAAACACGAGTTTACGGAAGATAACGAGGACTTTCTGCGTTTGTTTCACGCATTTTAGGTAACTCTGTTCCGGTCAGAAGCGTGATGTTTAGAGCTGAACCTCCATTGAATGGTTCTGAAATAAACAGTAGCTACTCTGGTTTGACTGATGACAAGCCCATGTGCTGCCCACCAACAGGTTAACCGCAAAACAGTTGCATCCGACCCTGGTTGATTAGGTTCAATGTGTAGCATAGATACGAAACGTTGGATGACCGGAACTGTCAGCGCATGCGATCACGAAGAGACTGGACCTTACCTCGGTGTAGTGGCTTGTGCGCCTATAGTGCGAGGTGTTCGTGCGACACTCACAGTCTGTCACACCAGACTGGCCAGTGGTTAGCGGTCTGTCAGACGGTCTCCTGGTCCTGGTCATCCAGGTTCGGGGTCGGAACATGTATGGCGACCCGTTCTGTAAAAATTGAAATGCACTTGTGTTTCCTGCCAAGACCCGCATTTCAAGCCAAAAATCGAAGATACTAATCGTTCTACTCTCTATTTATGCGCGCACTAGCAGTGTCCTAGCTCAAATACAACCATAAATTGCTCACTTCATCATCATCATCATCAAAGACAGCAACATTAGTGTTGACACTGATGCTTCACTGCCGTACAACCATAAAGTTCGTTTAGTTATATATA